ATGGTTGCTTTAGGGTTTATAGAAAACATTTCTAACTTACCACAGTTGATCTTCAAATAATATTATATTTTATATGTAAGAGCCTTTTTTTTTTTTTGGAGAGGTTTTTGCTATAGGGCACATGCGCTCGCCAGACAGACAGAGAGAGACAGAGAGATAGAAAGCGAGAAATCACCCCCTGGGGGGATGGCCACGCTGCAATCCCTTCTCCTTCATTCTCCTCTCGGGATCTTGGGCACACACGCACACGCACTCGGCGTGAGTTTAAGCCACCGGGTGCGGGACTCGAACCACGGTCGCCTACGTGGGAGTCCAGCAACATAATGCCTGTGCTGCTAATTGAAGTGGTCAATCTTGTTTAAAAGGTTATTAAAATAAATGTATAATGATACCTCATTTATCACTTTGATTTGTATTTTCCTAATAAAATAATGGTATTGAGATCTCTATTTGTGTGCATATTTGTCTTCCATTTATATTCTTTGGTGTTTTTTCCTAATTGTTCAACCCAGCCCCACCTCCACCCCTCTTTTTCTGGCCTGTTTGCATTTGGCTGCAAATACTGAATAGAAGTGGCAGGAGCAGACAACCTGGTCTTGCTCTTACCCTTAAGAAAAAAGCATATAGTCTTTCAACATTAAGTATGATGTTATCTGTAGATTGTTCGTAAATGCCCCTTAGGGTTTATGATTTATGAAGTTCTTTACCAATGTTCAAGTCTACTATATATTTGCTGGGTTTTTTTGCCACTTGCTCTTTTATTATAGAGAAGAGTATTAAAAATCTGACTACAGATGAATTCTGGATTTATCTGTTTCTCCCAACAGCTCCATTAGTTTCTGCTTCATAGAAGGATTGTCTAAACCCTTTATAATTACAAAATTACCTCTTTACCCCTAGTAATATTCTTTACTGTATAATATACTTTGATATTAATACAGTAATTCAGCTTCATTATGGCTAATGTCAGCCATAATAATGGTATATAATTTTCCATCCTTTTACTGTTAAACTATCTGTGTCATTATATTTTAAGTGCAATTTACCGCAGGCAATATATAACTGGATCTTGTTTTTTATTCAATATGTCAATCTCAGCTTTTTAATTGGGGCATTAGAACAATTATACTGGTTATTGATATGGCTGGGTTTAAATATACTACCTTCCTATTGTTTTCTATTATTTTTAATGGTTGCTTTAGGGTTTATAGAAAACATTTCTAACTTACCACAGTTGATCTTCAAATAATATTATATTTTATATGTAAGAGCCTTTTTTTTTTTTTGGAGAGGTTTTTGCTATAGGGCACATGCGCTCGCCAGACAGACAGAGAGAGACAGAGAGATAGAAAGCGAGAAATCACCCCCTGGGGGGATGGCCACGCTGCAATCCCTTCTCCTTCATTCTCCTCTCGGGATCTTGGGCACACACGCACACGCACTCGGCGTGAGTTTAAGCCACCGGGTGCGGGACTCGAACCACGGTCGCCTACGTGGGAGTCCAGCAACATAGCCATTACGCTAACTGCTGGTCCCTATGTAAGAACCTTTTAATACTTAGAATACTCCCCCATTGCCTTTATGCCACTGTCATCATACATTTTACTTATATATCTTTTACCATCCTTAGTCAATTATCGGTCATAGAGATTAAATTTTAAAAATCTTATATACTTATCTTTGTTAATTTCCAGTGACCTTTATTCCTTTGTATACGTTTGTTATTTCATCTAGTGCAATTTTCCTTCTGTTCAATGAACACTTCTTAACATTTCTAGTAGTGTTGAGTCTGCTAGTGATAAATTCCTTCGGTTTTCCTCCCCTCCCCCTATCTGGAGGGTACATGTACTTGCCAGAGACAGACAGATAGAGGGAAAGTGAGAAAGCATCCCCCCTGGGGAATGGCCACACTGCAATCTCTTCTCCATTTCTCCTCCTCTTGAGATTTTTGAGCATACATGTCCGGTGCATTTTTTTTTTTTTGAGAGGTTTTTGCTATAGGGCGCATGTGTTCGCCAGAAAGACAGAGAGACAGAAAGTGAGAAATGACCCCCCAAGGGGGACGGCCACGCTGCAATCCCTTCTCCTCCATTCTCCTCTTGGGATCTTGGGCATGCATGCACATGCGCCTGGCGTGAGTTTAAGTCACCAGGTCTGGGACTCGAACCACGGTGGGCTACGTGGGAGTTCAGCAACATAGCCATTACACTAACTGCTGGTCCCCCAATGCATTCTTCAAGCTGCCAGGTCCAAGACTCAAACTGCATGGTCAGCCATGGGGGACTCAGGTACCTTAACCACCTGGCCATAAGCTAGCACCCTTCAGTTTTTACATATCTGAAAATATCTTTGTTTTACTTTCAGTTTTTGGAAAATATTGTTGTTGAGTGTGGCTTTCTAGGTTGGCAGGTTCTTCTTTCAGTGATTTAAAGATGATGCTCTTGTACCGTTTCTGACAAAAAAAAAAAAAAATCATTCTTAGCTATTCAGTATATAAAGTGCCTTTTTCTCTGGCTGCTTTTAAGGATTTCACTTTTAAGGAACAATGGTTTTGTGTAGTTTAATTAAGATATGCCTTTAGTGTAGTTTTCTTGTTTCTCATTTTTGAGATTTATTGAACTTCTTTAATCTGTGGTTTTCTAGTTTTCCTCAATTTTGGAAAATTTTTTCTTTTTGCTAGAGGGTATGTGCATTTTCCAGACAGAGACAGAAAGTCAGAGAGGGAGGGAGAGGAGAAAGCAAGCACCTCCTGTGGGGGGTAGTCACACCACAATCCCTTCTCCATCTCCCTTCTTTGGGGATTTTGAGTACACACACACACACACACACACACACACACACACATGTACACTTGGCATGATTCTCAAGTCATCAGGTGTGAGACTCAAATTGCACAGTCAGTCCTGTGGGATCTGAATGCCTTAACTATCAGGCCATGGAGCCAGCCTAACTTTGGAAAATTTTTAGCCATTACATCTTCCAATCATTTTTCTGTCCTCCATCTCTTCTCTCCTTTGGAGACTCTAATTATATGTTACATGTCTATTTAGTCACATGAAACTATCCATGGTTCACTGGTGCTCTTTTCATTTTTTTTCTAAATTTGTGTTTCATTTTGGATAGTTTCTATTGCTATATTTACTATTCTTTCCTTCTGCTATTAATCTCCTCTAGCATATTTTTCACTTCACATATAGTAGCCTTTTTTAAAAAAAATCTTCATGTCAATACTTGACTTTTTGACCTATAAAGTATAACTAAAATAAACATTTTAACATGTTTGATCTCTGTAGTTGGTTTTAATCAGTTGATCATTTCT